GCGTCATGAAACGCCTTGTTTTTATTTTTCTTTCTTTCCCGTTTTCCAAGAACACCAACATTGCAAATTCTTGCAATTCTAAACGTGCCGATTGGTCCTTTCTACGTCGGCGATAATAACGGCACCGTCATTTATTATTAATTTATAACATTTGCAGCGCGTTTTCAATCACATAGAAAAATAACAAAAGCGAAGAGAGAACATTGTCGATGCAGCGTTTCAGCTGTTATCGTATAGTATGACTTATTAGGTGGTAGCCCACATATTAAATATGTAAACGAGAGGATAATTATACATAGATATTGTTTATGGAAAATAAATAATAAACGTAATGTAGCTCTTATATATGCCGTCACAGTAACACGTACGAAGAGAGATAAGTACATAGCGTTACGCTTTTGTCATTGTCGTAGGTCACTACGATCACGCTGCCACTTTTACGAACTATTAACTGTTTTAGTGCATTTTTAATCGTCCTAGTTACCAAGAAGGATTACGCCGCGATGCCAGGCGACAGCAACTAATATAAAACAGAATTAACAAGGATTTACTACATCGCCTAGAGAGGCCAGATGCGGGCCCAGTCGTCTAATGATTAGTTACAGCATAGAGAATATTTCTTTATTTCAGGAACCAACAAGCCGTCTCTATACTAATATTCAACACACAGCAACATACAGTCATATAAAAAAAGAATGAAGAATCCGCCAAGGGGTGACAGTTATAACCCCCAAGAGTCTATAGGGACCCCATATAGCATTTTGACGAAAATTTGTTAGGTTCAAAACTCTAAATTCTTCCTGAAGCCTGAACACCACGCAACCATTATTATATGCACAATAAATTGTCCATTGTCCTTTAGAAGGACTACAATTTTTACCATTGGGATCTTGACACATAAGACTATTATGATCTACGTTTGTTATAACTTTTTCTTCCAGAGATTAAATGTAACCGTTATCTCTTTTGTTTTGGAATTTAGCAAATTTTGACTTGCGACTATTAGACAATCGCGTGGGTGGATGGTTTACCGTTGTTGTTGTTTGTGCGGTAACAGGTGAAACAATGCTTTCTATACCGTTTCTAAATGGCATTCGTGTGAGAACGCGATATTATTACGTGGCAAAGCCAGGCAAGGCCTTCTATTTTTATTGCAATAATTGCGCTTTAAAACGACTAAAGTGCATTAAATGTATAGCGCTGTAGCTGCATTACCAATCCAACATTATTTTAGTGCACCGTGGTTAGTTACATACACACAATTAAGTTTGTAGAACCCGACTACGTCAAGGCTGTAGCAAACGCAGCGCCAACAGTAGCCGCTATATGCACGGGTACTCGACCATTTTATCGTCACTCCGACGCGAAATTCATTTTCGGGAAAACAATTGCACATCTCAATAATGGGAATTTAAATGAAACCAACTTTAGACAAAACAATCGAAAAGAAGCATTGGAAAAAACAGTTGATGGTTCGTCGGTTTTAATGGGATACTGAATTAACTTTAGGCCATCGTTTTTCGGGGCATTTGTTTGCGAGGAAAAATTTTTCTGGGGTTTTTTTCCGAGGAGAAATTTTTCGGGGGTTTTTTTTTTCCGAGGAGACACTTCCAAGGAATTTTTCTTAGATTGCGGCACAGCTTATTTTCCATACAGATACTCATAACTAGAATTTGTCTTTTTGGTTTATGGATTAGATTACATTACGGTATGTTGGATCGCCATTGCTTAGTAATATTCAGTGCATATTATAAATACACATTTTATGTTTACATTATCTGTCTTGCACTATTAATTTATACTTGCAGCCCTGAGTGACTGATTCAAATGCAATAAAAGTAATTATAATTCTAATGATTTATTTGTTTGTGCTAACTGTGTTCTAACATACTTTAGACGTTATTATTTTAATCATAGAACTACGAGCAACCTTCGAATGCAAAATATATTATTGCAAGACGTAAACAAAGCCGTAAAAAGAGCGTAAAACATTTTCCGAGTGTTGCTTTTCAAAAACAAATGAATTTAAAGACTTTTGAACGAAAACAGAACATTCACCGTGAAAAATTGATTTGCTCCATTTAATTTCAGTCTGCATTTTTCTTTTAATAGGCGGTCGTTATTCGTAGTCGGCGTGATAATACGTCCCAGTTTGTTGTAAAAATTTATAAACATTAGTATTTTTCAACTCTACTCTTATCAGGGACTGATTGTTTCGACTACGTGTAGGTTTTGCTTTTGTTATTTCTGAAATTCAACAGTGGGCACCACAAACAAAAGTATAACTAAAACAACTGCGCAACACATTGTTTCGTGGATTGGTCAGGATTTGCTAATTTCAGCATTGACACGACCTACTTAAAGTACATGCTTACATATCGACACACTACACACTCGTTTTTTCGTTTCCTCTGTGTCTTGCTTTGGAGTTCAGTCGCCGGCGCCCTGATTTCTTTTGGCCGGCCAACAAATCCTAATTTTTAAACTTATTCCGTTATACATTTACATGATCGCCTTCCAATGTTACCGGAATAGATAACTACTGGCATAACATTTACACACTAATTAACAACGACTCATTATAACGCAGAAGTTTGTTAAGAAATGTGACGAAAATTGTACAATAATGTGCCCGATTCCTAATCAAACTCTTATAATTCGAAATCAAGTTAATTACTGCTCATTAAAAGTTAAAAGCATTACCAAATCGGAGCGCATAATACGCTCGCAACTTCAACTTTCATTGCTGCAACTGTTTCAATTGTTATCAGTGATTTGCAGATGTCTACGTGCAACAAAATGTATCTTGCTCAATTGTTTTAAATCGAATTGGACAATAAACAGAAGATAATCGATCTTGAGATGAACCAAGCATAAGTATAATTTCTTGCGTTTGTTTAAACAAAAACGCAACCATACATTTGTTACATGGTAACAGGGGCGATCGGCTGTACCAGAAGAAAACCACATTTCTCGCGTTTCATGAATTGAATATGCACTTTTATGGTAGTCATATGTTAAAGCCACAAACCACATGCAATACATATGTTTATCAAATCAAAACTGCATCGAGTATCTTGCATGTTTTGTTAAAATATAAATTATAATAATATAAATGCAAAGATCAAATAAATTAATTCCCTTCAAGAGAACACGTCCGCATGCTACTTTAAAGTTTTTCAACTATTTGTACTTAAAACTATTTTCAGTATTTATAAAATACGGCGCGGACTCGAGGAAAACCAGCGGGCACTTAAAGCCGGTTGTAAATTTTGAAAATAACAAATTATTCAGAAATAATCCTAGTTACAGAAATATAACAAGTCGACTTCGTATAGACAAAATCATAGTCTGGAGCTAGAAATTGTTTTATGAACACTTATGTATAGGAATTGATTTTTAAATTTCTAAATATATTTAAAACTACAAAATTTATTTTATGTATTTTGTGACAAAATCGTGCCGGAAAGTGTCTTTTTGGCACCGCACTCGAAAACTGATGGTACCATCAGATTCTACGTACTTTTTTACATAACCGCCACTAGTCAGCGACTGGGAAATGCTTTCCATCTCCCAGTAATTTCACGAGCGCCTTTTTATGTTTGATTTATTTTATGTATTTTGTGACAAAATCG